AAAGGGAAGGGAGTGTCTCCAGCAATCCCAAAACAGCCTCACTTTTCATTACCTTTGTATGTCCAGTGCACTAGGTGAGGGCAGCTCAGAGGCAGCAGCAGCAGGAGGAAGAAGGGAGCTGGGAGCCCCATGTCTCTGGTTGTACCTGCAGTCAGAACCAAAGTGGGGAGTGAATTGCTTTAAAACCTCCTTAGGAAGCTGAAATTCCAATTTATCATAAAATCATAGAATCAACCTGGTTGGAAGAGACCTCAAAGATCATCTAACCCTACCTATGTTTACTCCAGGTCTGACCCTTCCAACACCCATCCTGCCCTTCTCCTCACCCATCAGAAACAATACCAGCAAACAATGCCCTGGAGACAATCTCTTTGGACAGTCAGCTTTATTGCCCCCTAACTCAGCTGTCCCTGCCAAGGGGACAGGTTTCCCTCGATGGCCAGAGCTGATGGCCTCGAGTCTGTCTGACCCTGCACAGCTCTGCCCACTTTTCCTCTCCATTCATTCCTGATGAATAGCTTGAAAAGCTTCGTTGCAAGAGTCTGTAAAACAGTGCTTTTTAGGCAAAAAATACCCAGCACAGATCCCAAACACTGTCCTGAGACAGCCAACTGTTTCCTCCTTACCCAGCAGCCAAGACAGAAGGTGTTTTAAGGGATGGTTTTTCATTGTGGTTGTATTCACCATCTTATTGGAAGTGAAAAATGTAGGCACTTAGCTCCTTTGAAAATCAGACTTCTGAGACTAGGTTTAAAAGCACTCCACCCCCCCAAACCTTAATATTTCAAAGCATTTCGCTTTCAACTTCTTCCCTAGCCACTGAAAATCTAATTTTGAATGGGAGAGATTTGCAACCTTTGAAAAATTCAGATTCTTCAAAGAGCATTTAGGCTGCTGAAAGGTACAGGCATGATACCAGAGCTGAAACCCTGATGGTTTTTAAAACACATACAGGAATTCAAACAAATTCAAACAAAATTCAAACAAAAACTAGCAGGTGTCAGATGTCTAAATGCTCTTGGGGACTTCAGTGGTTGCTCTGTACATCTTCAGACATTTGATTTCCTTAAATACGTGTCCCAAGCAAATAATTGCCTACAGTGCTGAAAAAAAAGGTATTTGGCAGAACAGGGAACAGACCAAGGATCCTGTGCCTTTGTGTATCCTGTTACCAGGCAAATGCTTTTCCCTTTGAAAAACCTTCTCCTCCCTCCAGGAGTGACACACTATGACAGCCCTTTCTACCCAGCAGTGCCTCCCAGCCCATAAACCCACGGTTTTATAACAAAAGAGGAGCAGAAATCTCCCCAGAAAAGGAATGTTCACCTGGTGCTGAGCAGAGCTACAGCTTCCAGCAAAGGCAGTACAGCTTTGCTGTTGGTTGTGGGTGACAGCAGCAATATAAAACCCTTGGCAAGAAAGCTCAGAGCAGTGAAATCTCAGCACTTCTGTCCTCAGTGTCTCTGCCACTTGCCATAAAGTTTGCAATTATTTTCAGCAGTAAGGTGTGTAATAACAGCAATTCAACAGGGAGAGCCACAGGTGAGTTACAGATTGTGTGGGAACTCAGGTTTCTGGGGTTAGGCTGTGCTGAAGGACAGGAGCAGGTTTTTCATTCCAAATCTTATTCTTTGCACGTGAATTGTGAGCATTAAAAAGCCTTTCCTGCCTGCTGGTTTGTGAAGTGCATATTTAATCTTTGGGAACTGCTGTAATATTGAGTTGATTAGCCAAATGTGGGCTGTTTTTTTCCTTTTCTCCTCTAAAGAAGTCATTTATTCTGACAGTTGCACTGAACTGTGTGAGGACTAAACTAAGCAAACATGCCCTGCAATGCACTTCTTAATCCTTGTGGATCCAGTTGGGTAAATAGGCTTTGAAATTAGCTGAGGGAGAAATTTTGGAGGTTTTATACCTCTTTACACTTCAGGATTCCACACAGCAGCACAGGAGGGAGTGAGCAAGAGTCTGGAACAGGAGGTCACCTCTGTACCACAGCATCCTCCTGTCACCTTCTGTGTGTGTGAGGAGAGAGGAAAGGGATGTCACATAGGAACAAGCTCTTTTCCTTGCCTGTGCTCCATCAATCACCTAGCCCAGGATTTGAAACAAAGCCCATTTGGGGATGTACTTGCTGCCAGGGAACTGGAGATGGCAGTGAATTAATTTTTAATGGAGCTTTTGCAACATTTGTGACATCTCACTTGACATCAGCAGCAGCTGTGGATGCTCAGCACATATTAAAAACCACAGCTCTGTTAGCTCGAGTTAGTTTTCCCCAAATTAATGACTACTTTGGAAGGAAAGGTTGGATGGGGCTCTAAGCAACCTGGTCTAGTGGAAAGTGTCCCTACCCATGGCAGGAGGTTGGAATTAGATCAGCTTTAGGGTCTCTTCCAACTCAAACCATACTGGAATTCTATGAAAACAGCAATCTGGGGAGAGGACTTACTAAGGGAACTAAGTATGAATTTGTTTTGCAGTTAGGACTGAACAATAATCTGAATTAAACTCATGAACAGGATTTGGATGTTAAACTTCTAACTACAAGCTGAATATTATGGAATATATAAAGTGTTGCACATGTTAATCATTGCTTATTTATTCTTGGAGCTTTTTTTTAGTGTTTGTAGAATTAAACCTCCCTGGCCTGAGGCTTGGCTTCATCATACATGTTAATCATTGCTTATTGATTCTTGGAGCTTTTTTTAGTGTTTGTAGAATTAAATCTCCCTGGCCTGAGGCTTGGCTTCATCAGCTGCTCTGCTACCTCGATGGAATTGCTAGGGAATAGTGTGGACATGGTGCCAGGGAACTCCAAGTAGCACAGCAGGGATGTGCTTGAGGTAAACTGGTGGTTTACAGTTTGTAGGTCTGACAAGACTCATCTCTGCACCCAGATTTAACCAGTGGGAAAATCTAATGCCAGTTATCTCAGCCACAAATATTCTTGGTGTGATTTCTTCCCAAAGTCAGGCTACTTTCACACAGACTTCTCCTCCCCCTCCCACCTCGACTACAGTAGGAAATAAGCCTTTTATCCCACATCATTGGCTTCTATGCACTTCACTTTTATCTCTACAGTTTTCCCTGACTCTTTGCCATCTTTTAAATCCTGTTTCTCCCAGGCTATTCTCTCTGTCTTCCCTGGCCTAAAGCTCAGCTCAAGTCTGACATTCTGAGAATTGGTAGCCACATTAAAACCTTGACACGGCATTGAAGTAGCTGTCTCAAAGCCTCAGTGCTCCTTTGACCCAGAACTTGAAAGGGTTAACTCCTTTCCCTCTGAATCAGCAGTAATTTCGTCAGGGGTTTCAGTAATAGCTGCATCACTCCTCAGTCCAGCAAACATTTGATCAGGAACTGTTTGATGTGAGATGGACAGATTGCCTTCAATCAGGCTATCTAGGTTTTCCTAAGTGTGTCTAAAACCTCTTCAAACAGAGCTCTCTCTGCTGAGGTTGTACTGGAGGAGTAAAAGCATCCAGAGCCTACACTTTTTTTTTCAGGTTTCTGAAAGACAGAGATCAGCCAGTGCTGCCAGGTCCAAGCCCATGAGTAAAACTGTGCAGATTGAAACATGACATCCTTTCATTCAATAATTCCTGTAATGTTTTCACATCTTCCTTCCAAAATTGGCCCTTGGCTCTTTGAAATTTTGCCCATGTTTTTTTTTACCCCTTCCCTTTTTGCCCCCTGATTTTCAAGTACATACAGAGATCACAGAGGTAGAAAGTGCTAGACTTGATCTCTGCAGTTCACACAATCCCTTTAGACCTCCTTCCTCTTACAGAATATTTTGATGTGTTTGACTAAATTTAATCATAGAATCACAGAAGGTTTTGGAAGGAACCTTATAGATCATCCAGTCTAACCCTCTGCCATGGGCAGGGACACCTTTCCTTCTGCTGATGGAAATTCAGATACCTTTATTGATTCTACTGAAGATTTGTGGTAGAAATGAGCTTTGAGGCATTCAGAGAGAGACACCAGAGATTTACACCAGTGCTCCTAACAGCAGGATTTGCCCATTTTAAAGCAGAGAGGTTTCCTCAGTGAATTCCATTTCACGCTCTAACACATCTCAGTATTAGCTGAACCTGCAGTTCATTGTCAACCTAAATTTTCTTTTGCTCAGTTTCAGCCAATTACTCTTAGTTATAGCTATAACCCCTGGATTATCTTAAAATAGTTTTCCCTTTTTAATGTTCACATCACTTCTGGGGTGGTTATCACCTCACTGCACCGTGGGCAGGAACAGTCTTTCACTTGCTGTTTCCCCAAGGTGGAGAAAAGGACAATGTGATGCTATAAAAAGCAGAGAACATGGTCAAATAATCCCTCTTCATTTTCATTTCCAGGAAATGTAATTACAGTTCTTGTAATGTCTCTATAGGGCTGCTCGACAGACTTTGCTGAAAGGGACTTCATGGTCTGGATCTCTGCTTGAGGCTGAAAAACACCAAAATGGGAAGGAAGGAATAGAAAAGAAAGGTCAATCTTCCCTCTGCATTTGGTGTGAGGAGCACAGGAATGTGACCTGAGTGTGGGATCAAAGGAGCACTGTCTAAAGTGGCCTTGGAGAAATTTTTCCATCACACCAGAGCTGGATGAAGGTGGGATAGAGAAGGAATAATTCAGTGACAAGGCAGCTTGTTGGCATGTCCAAATACTTCTTCACCTTCTGAGACACTGCTGGTAGTGTTTTATACACATCTGTACCTCCTTCTGTTCATTCTGCTCCTGATCTCCCAGTGAAAGGACAGGCAGAGGAAGCAGAATTGCTGCTCAGCCTCTCTGAAAACTAACATCAGCAGTGCACAAACGGAGGAGAAGACCCCAAGTCCCTTGACAAAAAAACCCTGCACACAGAACAAGTAAGGGCTCTGGAAATTGCTGTTGCCCATTGCTGGGTAAGCACTTTTCCTTTCTGCTTTCAGCTGCATTGTGTGTTGAGCAGCTGTGACATCCAGTGGCCAAACACAATACAGTTGGGTCTGGTACAGGCCTCTTCATACATGGTAACAATAACAGAGCCCTTCCATGGCACTTTTCATCTTCAAAGAGCTGT